ACTAAACCTAAGCTACGCAAAACGTATTAATAATCGAATTAACTATTAATATAAATTATGTTTTCCGAGGACTATGAAAAAGGTCCTCGGAAGGTGTGTATGTCCTCGGAAGTAGCTATATATCTGTATTTTTGTCCTCGCAACATATAGCAATCCAAGTACACACACACACACACACCCACACACACACACACACACACACACACACACACACACACCCACACACACACAGACAGACAGACTATTAACTGCAAAGACTCCCATTGTGTGCTTTGCACACGAGTGTCAAATAGCTAAATATTCACCTGGTGCTGCATTGAGAGAATCTTGCAGCCTCTTTCACCAAATCTCTTTTGAAATGGTTTCACAAAGTCCTGAAAATAAGAATAAATTAGTCAGATATGTACAATAAATGTTGTATTATATATTGAGAACAATTAAGCAATGACATAATAATAAATTTTGAATAATTCATAATTTATACACAAGATTTATTGCTGAACAATATAAAACTGTATCTGAAAAATAATTCAAATAACATTCAAGCTTAACAAAAGAAGTGAGTACAATATGTAAACAGCATGTCATATGTCGATGGCAAATATTTGGAAAATTCCATTATCCTTTCTAAAGTATCCATGGTGATCAGTGATACACACCAATCCTATTCAATATCCCTTTAAGCTTAAACAAATTCTAATTATCCACAGAAATAAAAAATAATTGTACCGAAGCAAACTTCTTTTGAAAAGGTCCAAATGGTAAACTCTGAGTAACAGCATCTGAGTCTTCAGAGAACAATGAATCTTGTGATGACTGTCGCTTGGAATCAAAAACTCTTGTGTATAAACCTTCTACAGCCTTCTTGACAGCAGTAGGGTTCCTTGCCCTCAATGCTGGCACCAATACATCATCAGTAAAATCCTGTTGGTAAGAAAAGTACAGATATGAGTTTCATTAAATTTTTGATCCCCAGAAAAAAAAAAAAATTATTAATTCAAAAATAAGGGAGTTCATAATTTAATGAACGCTACTGTGACTTTCTTCCTAAAGAACCATAATGATATTTTCCCTGACAAAAAAAGTTTTGCAATTTTCCCTAACTCCCACAATGTGAAGATACCATGCCAAGTTCAACTGAGACCTGAATTTGTTTATATTTGACTTACTTTGCAGATGTGTTCAGGGTTTGTAAGCTGCTCCAATGCACAAATAAAATGCATTACCAATGGCACATTATCCAAGATGGCTGCCAGCTGACTCACTTTCTCTTTGTTTCTCTTACCAGTTACAGTATTCTCAAATGAAAAGTTTTCACTGCTGACTTTAAAAGGATAAACCAATGCCTGAAATAATAATGATAATGAATGAATTGACGATGATGATGACACCTACAGCATACTCAACCGATAAAAACTAATATCTGCAGAATTCTAGCATATTGATATATGTAGGCTGTAACCCTATGTAGCAAACTGATCTTTTTTTCTCCAATTTTAACTTTCAATAAACATTGCCTCAAGAGGTTGCCATCTATTGAAATCCAGTTTTGTTAAGCATACAAGATGACAACTTATCAGAGGCCCTAGATGAAATCCTGTCAAATTTGATGCCATCTTGAGAGGCTAAGCCACCCTCTGATGATTTTGCATGTCATTTCCGCTTATAGTGTGCTTCAAGCTCCAGAATTTGGTCTACATCACATGACCGATTTCAATAATGAAGAGTACTTGATCGTTTTCACATCGCATTTTATGTGATACAGCCATGTGTAGGATCATCTCTGTCTGTACAATTGTGTCTAAAACAATATTTCGGCAATATTTGGTCGTCTTTATGCGATTATATTTAAACAAAAGAATGTCAGAAATCGCAGCTATTATTGCTTTAACCACAGTCCCAGGGATAGAGGGACTGTGCTTTAACACATGGAAATATGTGCATTAATATATATTATTTTAAATATTTTAAAAGAATCAATAATATTATAAATTTAGACAAATTGCACCAACCTGTGGATAGTTATTTGCTATTTCCAGTAGAATACCCTGTACTGATATAGACTCTACTTTATCCAGCAAAGCCAGCATCTGACCAATCCAACCCAAGAACATCCAGCATGGCGTCTCTGATGTCTGAAATCAACATTGATCGGTTCATTTACTGCCTTATTGTTAGGAAGAAATTTGCATTCTACTATCTGTATGGTACATGTTTACAGGGCTTAAAATGTTGTCATGGAAACCAGTACTATCGTAGTGCTATCATAGTATCTACAGCTGTTTGAAAAGATATTCAGGTTTATTTGTGAAAGGTGGAAAAGCTTGGCTTTGACATTCAAAGATTTTAAACGAGTTACATGCAAAACACTTTATTGAAGAACTACATTTTCATGCAAACAAACATGGTTGTTCCCATGGGCAACCGATAATTGTTGTAATTACCCATCATGCTATACTGTATACTGTTATTAAACCTCTTTTCTTTCACAACAGACACATTTTTATGAATCTTGCAATCTTGTAAATTGTCAATTGCAACTTTTTTGAAAAAGAGACCAACCCTTCCCATTTATCATGCCAGCCCCATGTACCATTACTTTTACACTGACATGATCGGACAAGTGACAAATAATTACAAGTTTTTATGTGTTACTGGGGCTTTTATGAGATGATAATAATGCATTACATGAAGTAGGAGCATACATACATACATGTATATGTATTAAACAAAGAAATTATGTATACAGTATGTCAGCAATAACCTTTAAAATGGCGCATAGTTTTTGTTTTACAGTGTAAGCTTACCAACTCCACAAACGTATCCATGGTGTCAGTGTATGTTTCCACAATCTGCAACAGACGGGGAAATCTCTGAATAGCTTCAACGGAATTCAACTTTAATGCTTTCAGCAAGTGGAAGACGACAGATCTTGGAAAGGATGGACTTTTCGAGCTTCTGCTGACTGCACCATCTTCATCTGCACAAAATAGTTGCAAAATTTATTTATTTTTAGAGCACAATAAATGACAGTCATGCTCGGATACATTGTATGGAACTAAAACTGACGAAATAAGTCCACGATTCAGATGAGTGCTCATTCTTACTTTGTTCCTGCTGTTTGAGCATCTTGTCACAGAAGGTTGCCATAGAAACATAAGCATCAATAACGCCTTCTCTATCCATATCAATAGCATCCTCCTCATCAGAAGCCAGCTTGACACCTTTTTTGAAATATTCATGCGCTTTATTCTGCAATCCATTTACAATCTGGCAAAATTGAACAAAATTATATTATTGATGGTGTGTGCAGAACCTTCAGTTGAAAATTTTTATCAGATATTGTATTGCTTAACACATCACTATGGCCTAAATGAGTGTGAGAGTGCACTGAACTTACCTCATCCAGGGAAAGTGAATCACCAATGCTTCAATCAAAGATCTCAATGACTTTCGACATTTCAGATGTATAACGTCAAAGATATCATCACCTGTTGATCAGAAATGTATCCAAATGTC